CCTCACCTTTTTCAAACAGTCCCTCCTCCACCTTTTCAAACAGACCCCTCCTCCACCTTTTAACAGTCCCTCCTCCACCTTTTCAAACAGTCTCCTCCTCCACCTTTTCAAACAGTCCCGTCCTCCACCTTTTCAACAGTCCCTCCTCCACCTTTTCAAACACCCCCCACCTTTTCAAACAGTCCCCTCCTCCACCTTTTTAACATCCTCCTCCACCTTTTCAAACAGCCCTCCTCCACCTTTTCAAACAGTCCCCTCCTCCACCTTTTAAACAGACCCTCCTCCACCTTTTCAAACAGTCCCCTCCTCCACCTTTTCAAACAGTCCCCTCCTCACCTTTTCAAACAGTCCTCCTCCACCTTTTTCAAACAGTCCCCCTCCTCCACCTTTTCTAACAGTCCTCCTCCACCTTTTCAAACAGTCCCTCCTCCACCTTTTCAAACAGTCCCCTCCTCCACCTTTTAAACAGTCCCCTCCTCCACCTTTTCAAACAGTCCTCCTCCACCTTTTCAAACAGTCCCCCCTCCACCTTTTCAAACAGACCCTCCTCCACTCTTTTCAAACAGTCCTCCTCCACCTTTTCAAACCAGTCCTCCTCCACCTTTTCAAACAGACCCCTCCTCACCTTTTCAAACAGTCCCCTCCTCCACCTTTTCAAACAGTCCCCTCCTCCACCTTTTTCAAAACAGTCCCCTCCTCCACCTTTTCAAACAGTCCTCCTCCACCTTTTCAAACAGTCCCCTCCTCCACCTTTTTAAACAGTCCTCCTCCACCTTTTCAAACAGTCCCCTCCTCCACCTTTTCAAACAGTCCCTCCTCCACCTTTTCAAACAGACCCCTCCTCCACCTTTTCAAACAGTCCCCTCCTCCACCTTTTCAACAGTCCTCCTCCACCTTTTCAACACAGTCCCCTCCTCCACCTTTTAAACAGTCCCTCCTCCACCTTTTTAACAAGACCCTCCTCCACCTCTTCAAAGTCCTCCTCCACCTTTTCAACAGTCCTCCTCCACCTTTTCAAACAGTCCCCCTCCTCCACCTTTTCAAACAGTCCTCCTCCACCTTTTCAAACAGTCCCCCTCCTCCACCTTTTCAAACAGTCCTCCTCCACCTTTTCAAACAGTCCCCTCCTCCACCTTTTCAAACAGTCCTCCTCCACCTTTTCAAACAGTCCTCCTCCTCCACCTTTTCAAACAGTCCTCCTGTGGTCTAAATGAAACATCTGTGCTGTGCTTTGGTCAAAATATAACATGAATCAAGCACCAGAGGAGGTTTGTGACCCTGTATAAACCAGCTCTCTCAGAACGCTCCGTTTTGGTGTGTGTGTCTCTTTAAATGTAATGACCCCGCCCCCCCCCCCCCGTAGACATCACTCCTCTGTAGAGAGAATAAAAATGGCCGACCTGCTCAAAAGTTTTGTTCTAGGCTGGGGTGGAGTCCATGGGTGGAGATACCAGGGGAGGGGACGGGATTCCACTGTGACATCACAAGGAGAACACATTTGAAATGGAGCATTTTCTCTGTGTTGTAAGACTTATGCAGACCACAAATAAAGGGCTGGATACGTTTACTTCACATGTTGTGGGTCAGTAGAAGTTTACATAGACATACAGCAGATAGATAATGATTATTATCTCTGCTAGCCTCTAAACACATTTCTTTCTGTTTAACCCCCCCCCCCCCGATCCTTTTCGTCATCACTATAACTGGTTCATTAGCTGTGATGCAGGTAACATTAAGAATCCGAACAGGACGTACTCATCTCGAGGACACATCCCGTCCTGAAAGATCTTCTCCAGAGGAATGATGGTCTGACCGAGGAACACGTCCAGGCCGATGAGCACCCGGTGCATGACGGTGAGGACCAGGTCTCCGCTCCCTGGGGGGTAGGAGCTCCGGCCGCCGTCCTCCAGGATCCCCGGGAGAAGCTCGAAACAGCACTCCTCATTCCACTCGGGCACCTCCGCCTTCTCCACCAGCCCGGTGGTGTACTTCTCCTTCCCCACCTGGATGATGGTGTACAGGTAGCGGCTGCCGTGCTTGCCCTTGGTCCGCAGTCCTCTCCCGCGGAGGACGGTGACATTCACGTGAGTGGGCACCCATCTCTGATCATCGTCCAGATCGATCAGTGACATCATCTTGGACCGATGCTGTTAACGTGTCCTTAAATACGCACAATGTCTGTTATTCCTTTGTCGTACCTGTGGGCTCGGAGACCACCCCCCTGTGCACTGGCTCCGTGCTGCGCAAAAAAACCTCTGCAGAATCCGTCAGTCCGCTGAAGAGAGGGTTTATCCGAGGTCACTTTCTGGACAGCACACCGGGATCAACTCAAAGCTCCGCATGCCATTCCCAAATCCAATCAGAGCAAACCATGTGAGTCCGGCTACTGCGTGCAGGATTCTCACCGAAGTCCGCTCCTCCTGCGTGTCGCATCACTTAAGTCTAGAGTCCAAAAATGTGCCCTTGACTGTGTCCACGGACCGGCCCACCCTCCTCCAGAGCCTCCTCCAGAGCCTCCTCCAGCAGCAGCAGGCCCGCACGCAGAGAGGGAGCTGCCGCAGAATGAGGGAGAAAGAGGAGTCACATCCACACACTCATCATGTCCTGCTCCGTGTGCAGAAGCGTCACAGCAGACAGTCCGGTGCTGCTGCTGCTGCTGCTGAGATCATGTGAGCAGAGAGGAGACATGCGGAGAGTCTGCTCAACACATGAGTCCACTCTACTGTCTGGGCGGAACCGTTCAAGAGAAACAACACATCTTATTCTCATTTATTTCCCTCCAACAAATCACCAAGAAGAAACTAGCTTTAAGAAGAGGTTGATGAAATACAGATACAAAGGAAAGATAAAAAAAAAAGATCATGTTTGTGTTTTTATTGTTGTATGTGGACCCTGAAGAATGACGTCACACCCCCTCTCCTTTATGGCACAGTGTCAATTTAAAGAAACAGTGCAGCCCCCCCCCCCCGACCTTTACTGGAGATCTGATTCCTGCTGACAGACTGCATCAGGTTTCTGTCATTCACAGAACTACGACGCCATCTAGTGGAGATCAGAGACAGTGCAGGTACTGAGGGCTTCATCACCAAGAGAGCCACATCTAGATATTAAAACACTAACATTATGTAACTTTAATAGAAGCTTGAGGGGTTAGCTTAAAGGTGAAGCAGTAATCGTTTCATTCTATTGTATAAAGTCAATGAAAGATTCTATTCTTCTACGTTGTGTGGAGTGTAATCTTTCTTCTCAAGGTTCTTAGGATGCAGAGAATACATGAAGTGAGTTCAGCCCGTCGGTGTCCTCGGTCTACGCTCCCTTTAAAGAGTTTGTGCTGCAGCTTCAGCAGCTCTTTGAAACATTCATTCTGATGTAAGTTTGAGTTCTCTTTAAAGCTCCAGTGAAATGTTTTGTAGTTTGTTATGAAAGAAGATGAGCAAACAAAACCATCAACATAAAGATTCAATATTTCTATTTAGTAACTTTCATTCTGTTTAAGCCAGCAGGTAGGATGTGAAGATGGATGGGTGGATGATGGATGATGGATAGTTGATGGATGGATGGTTGATGGATGATGGATGGATGGATGGATGGATAGTTGATGGATGGATGATGTAGGGATGAATGGATGATGGATGGATAGATGATGGATGGATGATGGATGGATGATGTAGGGATGAATGGATGATGGATGGATTAGATGATGGATGGATGATGGATGGATGATGTAGGGATGAATGGATGGTTGATGGTTGATGGATGATGGATGGATAGTTGATGGATGGATAGTTGATGGATGGATGATGGATGGATTAGATGATGGATGGATGATGGAGGATGATGTAGGGATGAATGGATGATGGATGGTTGATGGTTGATGGATTCTGGATGGATGAATGATGGATGGATTAGATGATGGATGGATGATGGATGGATGATGTAGGGATGAATGGATGATGGATGGTTGATGGATGATGGATTCTGGATGGATGAATGATGGATGTCTGGTTGGATAAAAATGAAGCATCATCAAGGTTTTCAGCTTCAGTTCTTTTTTGGTTTATTATAAATAAAAACAGAAGCTTTCAGTAAAAAGCGCCCGATGTTTCACAGTGTCGTTAACAGTAAATACAAACTGACGCTCACATTCAGAAGAACAGCAACACGACGACAGAATCCGACTGAGGAAGGTTTCTGTGGCACTTTTCTACTTGGCTTGTAAGAGAGAGAGACGTGGCATTAACAGCTCACACAATACTGAACGTTATATTACACATTTACACAAACAGCTCGGCAACATGATGGAGTCGATGTGGTACATTCTAACGTAGAAAACACGGCCCAGGAGTTAATGACAAGCTGATGGAGTCAAAGAAACATGTTGAAACTGTTGATGGACGAGTCAGTGAGACGACACAAGAAGAGGAGTCAACAGTCTTATTTACAAAGAGACAGGTTCTGTCATTAATATGAAGAAGACATCTGTTTAAATATTCCCAGCTGTGACTTGTGATGGAACTGAAACCTGGTCTTGAATCCAGTGTAAGGCATTAGTATTTGAGCATGTGACCATCATCATCTGCTTTCACAAAAAACTCAATCTGAAACACTAAACATGTTCCTCACATCTTTCCTTCGATTGAATTAAACCATCTTTGATGAGAAAACACATATCTTTATTTTTACTTGAGTCTTTCTGCAGATCTGAATTTTTCAGAGCCCTTCAACATTAGCCTCTCCTATTAGGTTTCTAATTTCATTTAAAGCTCCGCCTCCTCCTCATGTTCTCCGTTCATGTCTTCAGTGTGGGAAACCTTTAGAGCAGCTTTACATGATCTGATTATCTGATACTCCCGTCAATAAAAACCAGCAGAATGCTGCAGGGCTGCCAGGGGAGGGCTGCTCTCCAGGTCTGGGAGACGAGAGTCTATGTAAGAGGTTTCAGAGGCTTGAAACCGTCTGCTGAAATTCTTGGTTTCATATCGGGGAACTATGGTGTGAGAGCAAGGCGTTTAGCGCCCTCTGCAGACTCATCCTAGGATTACTCCAACAAACATTTACCTCATGATCTGAAACTTTGACCACGTATAGTTTGGACATCGTAACTATATGAGAGTTAAAAACGGAGATCAACAGATCGACTTTGAGAGAAGAGGATTCAACCTTTGACCGCGGTTGAGTTGTTAATTTAAGTCACATGTTTTAAAGTTGAGCTTCTGAGCCTAATATCATAAGAAGGTTTTTTTACTGACACATCCTCTGAAAACGTCTGTTAGCAAAAGTCTTTTAACTCTAGTGAAGCTGCATGGAGCTCACTGGAAGGCTCTTTTCTCCCCAAGTGTTTGAAACATGAAGTCTCAGAGGCGCTCAGCTAGCCACACGCTAACATATCGAAGCTTCTTCTGTGACGTACCAAACACGCGTCGGACATGTTTCTGATGACTGGAAGGTTAGCATGTTCACAATCTGAAGTATTGGTTGGATGCTGACGCAAGTTCTGTAAACGACAAAGGATAAAAAGGAAGTGAATGGAAGACCAAACATTTGAAATGTCAGATGTTGAGTGAACATAACGACACAGAGGATGAAGTGTTCTTATGTTGGATTAGCGTCTGGAATGTTTTCCTCACAGGATAAAGTGACAGGTTCAGGTCAGTGTTTCGGGATATGTCGTAATGCGGCTACATTTACGGCTTCTGTCTTTGATTCCTTCCCTCTCTTCAGTCTGATTGGCTGTTCTGGCAGCCTTTTAAATACAGCTCGTCTTGTGACAAATGTCCATCAAAGGCGTCCATGTAGAGGCTGCTGGTGCTGCTGCCGCTGCTACCCAGGAACGTGCCGACCGCTCGGCCCTGGCGAGCATGACCCACAGCGTCGCTGAACACTTTGTTGATCTGCTCCTCTGACGGCATCCACCAGTCAGGGTTTGAGGCACAGTGCATCCGGATGAACTCTGGTAGGAGGAGAATAATGTTTTAGTTATTGGTGACAGAGATGGACAGGATGATGGTTACATAAAGGATTGATATCAGTTTATTTCAGAATTTCTCTAAATGGTCAGGCACCTTAAAGACCTATTACATTACACTACGCTTCCTGAGGCCTGCTAGTGGTACAGTCTCTAAATGTACAATGGGAGGTAGAGCCTTCAGTTATCAGACCTGCTCGTGGTACCTACAGTCTCTAAATGTACTATGGGAGGTAGAGCCTTCAGTTATCAGGCCTGCTCGTGGTACAGTCTCTAAATGTACTATGGGAGGTAGAGCCTTCAGTTATCAGGCCTGCTCGTGGTACAGTCTCTAAATGTACTATGGGAGGTAGAGCCTTCAGTTATCAGACCTGCTCGTGGTACAGTCTCTAAATGTACTATGGGAGGTAGAGCCTTCAGTTATCAGGCCTGCTCGTGGTACAGTCTCTAAATGTACAATGGGAGGTAGAGCCTTCAGTTATCAGGCCTGCTCGTGGTACAGTCTCTAAATGTACTATTGGAGGTAGAGCCTTCAGTTATCAGACCTGCTCGTGGTACAGTCTCTAAATGTACTATGGGAGGTGGAGCCTTCAGTTATCAGGTCTGCTTGTGGTACCTACAGTCTCTAAATGTACTATGGGAGGTAGAGCCTTCAGTTATCAGGCCTGCTCGTGGTACCTACAGTCTCTAAATGTACTATGGGAGGTAGAGCCTTCAGTTATCAGGCCTGCTCGTGGTACCTACGGTCTCTAAATGTACTATGGGAGGTAGAGCCTTCAGTTATCAGGTTGCTCGTGGTACCTACGGTCTCTAAATGTACTATGGGAGGTAGAGCCTTCAGTTATCAGGCCTGCTCGTGGTACAGTCTCTAAATGTACTATGGGAGGTAGAGCCTTCAGTTATCAGGCCTGCTCGTGGTACCTACAGTCTCTAAATGTACTATGGGAGGTAGAGCCTTCAGTTATCAGGCCTGCTCGTGGTACCTACGGTCTCTAAATGTACTATGGGAGGTAGAGCCTTCAGTTATCAGGCCTGCTCGTGGTACAGTCTCTAAATGTACTATGGGAGGTAGAGCCTTCAGTTATCAGGTCTGCTCGTGGTACCTACGGTCTCTAAATGTACTATGGGAGGTAGAGCCTTCAGTTATCAGGCCTGCTCGTGGTACAGTCTCTAAATGTACTATGGGAGGTAGAGCCTTCAGTTATCAGGTCTGCTCGTGGTACCTACAGTCTCTAAATGTACTATAGGAGGTAGAGCCTTCAGCTATCAGGCCTGCTCGTGGTACCTACGGTCTCTAAATGTACTATAGGAAGTAGAGCCTTCAGTTATCAGGCCTGCTCGTGGTACCTACGGTCTCTAAATGTACTATTGGAGGTAGAGCCTTCAGTTATCAGACCTGCTCGTGGTACAGTCTCTAAATGTACTATGGGAGGTAGAGCCTTCAGTTATCAGGTCTGCTCGTGGTACCTACGGTCTCTAAATGTACTATGGGAGGTAGAGCCTTCAGTTATCAGGCCTGCTGGTGGTACGGTCTCTAAATGTACTATGGGAGGTAGAGCCTTCAGTTATCAGACCTGCTCGTGGTACCTACAGTCTCTAAATGTACTATGGGAGGTAGAGCCTTCAGTTATCAGGCCTGCTCGTGGTACCTACAGTCTCTAAATGTACTATGGGAGGTAGAGCCTTCAGTTATCAGGCCTGCTCATGGTACCTACGGTCTCTAAATGTACTGTGGGAGGTAGAGCCTTCAGTTATCAGGCCTGCTAGTGGTACAGTCTCTAAATGTACTGTGGGAGGTAGATCCACATAGAGGCTTGAGTTGGACCTAATGACACTTAAACGAGCAGGCCGACTGACTCATGATGAAGTTCTTCCTCATCGACAGCCTCTCTCAGATCTCTGTACCTCTGAGGCAGCTGACTTTGAGCGGGTTGAGCGGCCGTCTCTCCAGGCCTGGATCTCCCGAGTGGACTGAACGCTTCCTTTTCCCCAGTCCGCAGGAGAACTTGAGCTCGTCTGTGGTGAAGACGTAACGAATCAGGTAACGCAGCAGCCGCCGGCCGTCTTTCTTTGAGGAATTGACGGCTTCATCCCACTGCTTGTTAGTGATGAAGAGAGGGTAGTTCTCCAGCAGCTGCTTGCTGCCCTGCAGGAACAAGGAGTGACAGTGTTTAGTTTTCTTCAGTTTTAAAGTCAAGGATGCTGCTTTAAAGGCTTTATATGTGATTTTTTTGATCCAGCAGATGTCGCCCTTGAGCTCCAGCATGAAACCAAAATAACTTGCGGTGCATTATTGTGTTAGCATGCTAATGCTAGCGATCTTTATTCTGCTGGTATCTTCACACTGCATGTAAATTTACCTGAAATGAGCGTGATCTAGAAACACAGTTAAGCAGTGAGTACAGTATGTTATTCTTCTTTTCTCTAGTCCCTCAATTAAACAACTTTTATACACGAGGGGAGGAGTCAGCCGGCCGTCCTGGCGATGTAAACAAAGTGAAGATAGGACTCTGAAAACTCTGAAAACATCACAGACAGTGGGACTCGGGTGTTACACCCATTGTAGACAGTCATGACTCACAGAGTTATTTTCAGAGGATATACTTCTATACTACTATATACTACTATGCATTTAAGTGTGAAAAATCACATAGAAAGACTTTAAGGATGATCCTTTATATGCCATGTTTCAGTAAAAAAAACATATTACTTTAAAATCTTTGCATTTCTTTCTAAAACTGAGGCTAACTCTTCATGACGTTTAGTGAAACACTGACCTCAAACACTGTCTGCCGCTCTTCTTCCTGCAGAGACACAAATTTCTTTAACGCCACATTTTCACACTCATTAGTTTTTCCATTAACACAATGAGGAGGTTATTAATAAAGACTGGATGTGTTTCACGTATGCTTCTAATAACATCCCTGTGACTAATGTTCAGGCGTCGTCACCTCGGTGAGCGGCTCCTCCGGCAGCGGCGGCACCAGCTGGTTGTGAAACTCGAGAACAGTCTTAAAGTAGTCGAGAACGTTCTGACAGGGAGCTGCAGGAAAACACAGAATAATGTGACCAGTAACAAAAAGACACCCTGAAAACAAGCAGACAACCACCTGCTGTGTCATTAAAGTATTAAAGAGTCTAACATTGAACTACATCTATACTTTAACTCTCTGATCCAGGTCTACACTCCCTCCCCCCCACTACGCTCTGCCAATGAAAGGCGTCTGATCCAACCTTCACAACAGGGTCCTAAGACGCTGACTAGACTCTTCTCCTCTGTCGCCCCCCGGTGGTGGAATGAACTTCCAAACTCCATGTGATCTGCAGAGTCCCTCTGCACCTTTAAGAAAAAGCTAAAGACCCAGCTCTTTCATGAATACCTACTAACTTAATGATGATGGTCTCCATATTATTGATGATGATGATGGTAATGACGATGGTTTTTGTTTGATAACGACGACTTATAAGATGGTTTCTATACTGATTAGAGCTCTCAAGAACTGCCCTCAATGTTGTGCTTTGCCTCTGGTCACTTCCTGTCAGCACCTGTGGTCACTTCCTGTCAGCACCTGTGTGTCCAATCAGACTCAAAGATGATCGTTTGCTCTTACTCACATTGTTCCCTTTTTTCTAGATCCTTGCTTGTGTTGTTCTTACTCTCTGATGTACGTCGCTTTGGATAAAAGAGTCTGCTGAGTGAATTGTAGAATTGTATATCTGCACTCAGTGAGTCACAGGAAGATCAAATGAGCTGTTTGGAAATGAGGCTGAAGTGACACAGGGGAGCTGGGAGGGCAGGAAGTCACCTCAAACTGTGTGATGCTTTTAGGTTACTGTGGGCATGTGACTCTCTGAAGCAGACAACACTATAGAAGAGAGGAGTTCATCTTTTCTATAGTGTAGAAATATGTTAAACAACAATTAGCTATTTGTTGCTCTTTTTGCACTTGAATTGCACATTTGCACACCTCCACTTTGCACTTGAATAACTTTCCATTCTGGTACGAGCTCTGGACTGATTTTATTGCGCTGTTTTTATTTGGTTTTATATTTTGCTGTGTTGTCTGATTTTTTTTATTTATTTGTTTTGGTCAATGTTTTATGGTGATGTGTCCTCTGTGTGCTCCTGTTGCAACGCATATTTCCCCTTGTGGGACAATAAAAAATCTG